AGGCCCTGGTGGTGACGCAGCTGGTTTTGTCTCCCTGCAGATCGGGGCAATGACAACTGGCTCATCAAGTATGACTGTCCCCTGGACAGCGCAGGCGTGCGGGTGAGTGGCTCCTCCTGGGCAGGGGCTACATGGGGACTCCACTTCTGGAAGCTGACTGCTTGTCAGGCCGGACAGAAATTTCCCATCTGGGTTCCAAGCGTGTGGATGCCTGATCTTGTCTCCTGGGCCTTTTGTTACCCTTTGTGTTGGTGGTTTGTGGCCTAGTGGGACTTTGTGAGAATGCTCTGTGGGGGAAACTGGTGTTGCTGGACCTGTGCATCCTTGGAGCGAGGCCTTGGGGGGAAGCAGCTTTGTTCCCCTCCCACCTGAAACAGATAATGTTTCCCTGTGGGCAAGGGGCCATGCTACAAGGCAAGAGGCTGCTGTGCCTCTGTAGTAGCCAGGGCAAAGATCCTGGCAGTGGGGCTGGAGTGAGAGAGGGACTCTTCCTGCTGCAGGGGGCCTCCTTATGCCGTTTTGCTTCCTTCCAGGACAGCGACTGGGTGGTGGTGAAGGAGCCCATCATCAAGCTGGCTGCTATAGACAACGGTTTGGCCTTTCCCTTGAAACACCCAGACTCCTGGAGAGCATGTGAGTCCCTTAAGCTGTGCCAGGACACTGTGGCAAGCCATACAACTCCATGCGTGGGCATCCTCCTTAAGGACTCTAGAGGAGAGGACTAGGGCTGTGCCTCTGCAAATCTCTGGGTTCATGGGCACTTCCTTCTCAGCAGAGACTGTAGGAAGCTGATGCTGGACCTTGGGTCCCAGATGCAGGGGATCCAGGGGCATGTGGCACCATGCTTTGCCTTCCCTAGTTCTCATGTCTCCTGCTTCCTCCCACAGACCCCTTCTACTGGGCATGGCTTCCTCAGGCCAAAATCCCCTTTTCACAGGAGATCAAGGACCTGATTCTTCCCAAGATCTCCGACCCCAATTTTGTCAAGGACCTGGAGGAAGATCTGTATGAGCTCTTCAAGGTGTGCTGGGGAAGTGGGTGAAGATGATAGGGAGGAAGGAAAGTGGGGGTGGTGTTGAGGAGCTCCCTGTCAAGGCTGCAGGGGACAGAACGGTGACCAAGCTCCTGACAGTGTTTCTGGACTGAGGCATAGCAGGGTTTTCACTCTACCAGGAGCTGAAGATTAAGCATGGGGAGAAGCAGGAAACCCATGGGACAGGGGGAGAGGCTTACTTGAGGAGTAGTCATCTTGTGCATGGCATGAGGCAGTGGATGAATCCCACTGTCTTCTCTCTTTTGCAGAAAGACCCTGGCTTTGACAGAGGACAGTTTCACAAGCAGATTGCTGTCATGAGAGGCCAGGTAAGCTGTGTGTAGGGAAGGCAGAGGTGGAGTCTCGTCCTGCCTGTGTGGCAGGAAGAGTGCTGGAGTGGATGCTCTCTGTTGCTCCTGCAGGGCAGCTCAGGCTTTGCTCTGTTGTGCCATACAGATCCTGAACCTGACGCAGGCGCTGAAAGACGGGAAGAGCCCGCTGCACCTGGTTCAGATGCCGCCTGTGATTGTGGAAACAGCACGTTCCCACCAGCGCTCTGCCAGTGAGTCCTACACGCAGAGCTTCCAGAGCCGGAAGCCTTTCTTCTCATGGTGGTAGCTGCAGGAGCCACAGACAGGGCTTGGCCATCTCGGACTAGCACTGCAAGAGGAGCTGGGCCACTGTTGGCTTCTGTGGCTGGGACTTGACCTTCAGGGTAGAGCGAGCAGGTGCTGCTGGAGGAACCTGCAGCTGAACTGGAGGAGCCAGGCAGGTTGGGCATGGTCCCTCCCCAGCTCCATTGGAGCTCGGTGCCCTGCCTGGGGCAGAGGCCAGGGGAGGTGTGGGAATCCGCTGGGAACTGTGGCGTGGCTGGGACCCTGCCCCTGCCTCCCTTCCTTGGCCTGCATGCGGTTCTGAGCACCCCTGCATGGGGCTGGGATGAACAGGCTTGCCCAGGCCAGGATCCGTCCAGCCCTTTACACCAGCCACTGGCCCATTTTTTCCCACCGTGCCAGCTGCTGGGCTGGGAAGGCCTGTAGAAGGTGATACCCCCTCCCTTTCCCTAAGGGTGTGGTGTACTCCTCCACTGTCCCTCCTCTGCCCCAACCCCGTGCACACTGCTTTCCTCAGGGGGAGTTCCTGCTGCCCACGGGTGCAGCGGGGACCACAATGAATGGCTGTTCTCTGGCTGGGGGCTCAAGGAGAGGACATAAGAGGGACAACACATGGGACTGGCTTGGGTGCAGTTAGACACTAAGGGGAAAGAGGTGTTGGATTATCCTTGTGAAGAGCAGGTGGCTCCCCGTCTGCTTCCCCAGTCCATTTCTCCTGCCAGGTTTCCACAGCCGCTCTCGCTTGGCTTTTTCCCCTGCTCCCAGCAAGCTGCCTGGCTGCTGCGCAGCCAGCATGGTGCCAGCCTTGTCTGTGCCTAGGGACCCCCTCGAGGGGCAGGGGTCTGCCAGGGAAGGGCTGGAGGGGCTCTTCTGCCTCATGGGTGGGCACATTAGAGGACCAGCATGGACTCCTGGCTGCCTTGGAGCTGACAATCTCGCAGGCTCGCTGTGGGTGGGGGAGGCAGGGAGCCCCCCTCTCCCCAGCAGCTGCTGAGCTTGTGTTATATGGAACAGTATCAGGGCTGCTGCCTGCACTTGCTTGCCTTGAGCTGTGGCTTTTCCTGCTGCTGGAGGAAATTGGTGTTGGGTCTTGTTGTCCTGTTAGCCCATCCTCAGGGAGTGAGGGGGATGATGGCAGGTTTGGGCTCTGCTGTGTGGGCCTGGGAGGGGAGAGCAGCTCCCCTGTCTCCTGCAATGGGTAGGGTGCTCAGCACTGGCTGTGCAAGCACAGGGGGGCAGCAGTGGAGACCCCAGCTCCCCAGCCAGGCCCAGCTGCATCTGACTGACCCAAAATGTATTGTTCTAATGCACTGTAGAAATGTATGTAATGTATTTAAACCATGCGACTGTCTGAATAACAGCTGCCGTTCAGCCGGCCACATCTGTGTCTCTGCTGCACCCTAGAGCAGGTTGGGGCTCCTCGGACAAGGTGGCCTGGCTGGTATCCATGGATACCTGCTCAGGGATGCGTTGGTCTCCCACAGCTGCAGAGTTGCTGCTGGGAAGACCCTTTCCCACAGGGTCTGCTCATGCTGGGTGTTGAGGGGGGCCAGCTGCCCAGCCTGCCCGTCAGCACCCTGTGCCTGCAGGTCCTGCGCCAGCCTCTCCCAGGCCCAGTGGCTCCTGGAGAGGCAGCTTGGCCAGCTGGTCCTCCAGCAGAGAAATCCTTCCTTGGAGAATCCCTGTTTCTCTTCCGAACAGTTCTTGTCCTGCAGGGCAGCATGCAGCTTGTTCTCCAGCTGTCCCTGTGACTGTGCCAGGGCAGTCACTGCGAGTGACCGTGCACTGGAGCACACTGCCCCTAGAGGCTGTGGAGAATCCCCCACTGGAGATATTCAAGAACTGTCTGGATGAAATCCTGTGCAATGTACTCTAGGATGACCCTACTTAAGCAGGGTGGTTGGACCAGATGAACACTGTGGTCCCTTCCAACCTGACCCGTTCTGTGAGGCTGTTCCCATTGCACTGGGTGCAGTACAATGGCCTGGACCTCGGTCCTGCCACCCTGGGGGAAGGCCAGGATGGGCAGGACACAGCTAGAGCCTCACAGCCACCACTATCCACCCTTTATTAACCATTCATTGCACCCTGCCCAATACACTTAGTGTCCTCGGAGAGCCCGGCAGTGCCGACACCCCCTCTCCAGCAGCCACACTCCAGGGCCCTGGCCGCTCAGCGCTGCTACACGGACCCCGAGTCTGTCTCGGCCCCGCAGTCGCTCTCCAGCTCCTTCTCCGCAATCCTACCGGGAAGAAACCTGTGTTAGGGGCGTGGTCCGGCCGGGCTTTCCCCGGTTTCCCCGCTGCCCCGGCCCACACCTACCGCAGGTGGCCGAAGCGCCGCAGCGCCGCCATCCCGCCGCCGGGCCAGGCCGTTCGCCGCCGCCGGAGCCGCCGCAGGGCCCGCGCCATGCGCCGCTGGCCCGCATACCGCCAGACGAGGCGGGCACGCTCCTCGGGCCGCTCGGCCCCGCCGCTCTGGAACAGGCTCCGCAGCTCCAGCAGCCCCACGCCCTGGAAGATGTTGGCCGAGGCCCGCTTACGGCCGCGGGCTACTGGCGCCGCCCGCCCCGGAGGGTCGCTCGCCACCGAGGCCGGTGTGCCCATGGCCCCGGCCGCTGTAGGCACGGAAGAGACGGTGTCAGGCTCTGCTTTCGCCGCCCGGCCCGGCCCGCCTCCCCGGGGATCCTGCGCGGATGCCCGGTAAGGAAGAGCGGGCGGTGGGGAAGGGCACTGGGCAGGAGTCCAGCCGCGCGGGCGGGGCCGCTCAGGAACGCGGGAGGCGCCCCGGCTTGAGCCGGCGCACGCAAGTCCGGTCCCGCCCTGCCCGAGGGCGCTGGGCCCCACCGTGACCCACTTTTGCTCCGCCGCCGCCCCGCGCCCGACGGCCCCTCGCACAGACCTGGCGGTGGCGGGTCCGCCCGGCGCTCGCTGCGCTCCCGGACTCGCTTCGCGGCACCGCGCCGGGGTCCCGCCACTGCCCCGCGCGCCGCTCATTCACCGCCGCGCCCGCCCCGCCGCCAATCCCCGCCCGCCCCCCGCTGCCAGGGCCAATCGGCGCCGAGGGGCGCGGCCGCACCGCCTGTCGGAGGGGGCCACGTGGCGCAGGTGACGTCACGGGCAGCGGACGAGACCCCGCCCCCGGGCGGAGCCACGGCGCGCGTCACTCCAAGGGGAATCCCGAGTGACGTAGGGGGGGAACCCCTGCGCGCGCCCCCCGCCGGCCGCCGCGCGGCGTCCCGGTGCGTTGTCCCCGGGACTCGCCGCCGGCACCGGCCGTCGCCTCCCGCGGCCTCCCGCCGCCGCCTCTCGCGCCCTACGGAGGGGCTCCCTCGGCGGCGGCGGGACGGAAGGGGCACGGCGGTTCGTGCCCGACGGCGGCATCCGCGTCGGCCCTCGGGTGTCCGGTGGGCCGGCGGGAGGAGCGGCGGGAGGCGGAGGCGGGGCGGGGAGGAGAGGAGAGAGGCCCCGCGCGGGGAGGACCGTAAAAGTGCCAGATGTTTGGCAGCGGCCGGGGAAGGAAGTCGCTGCCGGGGCCCTGAGTCCCGCCCGAGCCGCGCCGGAGCAGTCAGGGCCGCGCCATGGCTCGCACGGCTCCTCCGTCAGTGCCACCGCCCCCGGGGCCGCCGGCCCGCGGCTCGCTCAGCCTCCACCGCGCCTACCTGCGGAGCCCGCTGGGCTTGCTGCGCCTGGGGCAACTGGCGCTGGGCGCTGCCTTCTGGGTGACGGTGGCGGCTCACAAGTACGAGGGGGCGGCCCACTTCGCCCTCTTCGCCGCCGTCCTGGTCTGGCTCCTCACCCTGGCCCTTTTCGGGCTGAGCCTGCTGGGGCGCTGGGAGCTGGTGCCCTGGCTGGGCTCCCGCTGGCTCCTCACCAACCTGGTGCACGACCTGGCGCTGGGTGTGGGGCTTTATGCAGCCGCCACTGGCATCATGGGCCACAAGGCCGGTCAGAGAAGCTATTGCAACCTGCCAGGCTACAGCCAGCACTGCCTCTACGGTGCCTACCTGAGTGCTTCTGTCTGCGGGGGCATCGCTGCCTGCCTGTACCTCTTCTCCGGGCTCTACTGCCTGTCACGGCGTTGCCGGGACCAGCGTGACATCATCTGAGACCTTGAGCCACTTGGCTCCCCTTCTTCTCGCTCACAGACAGAGCACAGCCCCTCTCTGGGACAAAGTGACCCTGCTGCCCCATCCCCTCCTGGCTGACTGCACTGCAACTCCTCCAGAGACCCCTGCACAGATGGATGGACAGATAGAGGCCTTCCCCAAGCACACCTTTCCCTGCAACGCACCGAGACATCATGGACACCCAGCCACTGTACAGGCGCTTCTCCCATCTCTGAACCCAAGGAAGGACCCAAGTGGAGAGCCCCTAAGAGGAATATCAATTTTTGGGAGTTCCTCCAGGACTTCTGCCAAACTCCCCTGCTCCCGACCTTGCAGATGCTGCATACTCAGGTGGGTGCTGACCTCTCCCCAGGGTGGAGGGGAACTGGCCTGGGAGAGCTGAGAAGGGGGCAGTGGTGCCTAGTGGGGTTGGGTGGGCATAAAAACCACCCCAACCCACTGGCAGCCCCTTCTCGCCATTCCAGCTGCGTGGCGCCTCCACAATTCCCTAACAGAGGCTCTGAACTCAGCTTCCCTAGCCCGGGCCCCTCCTTCTGTCTGGCCTGAAAACATCCTTCATCTTATCGGAGCCCCACGGGGCTCAGCCCCTCCCTGCCCTGCGCTCTGGGGGTGTGGAGACACCCGGGTACCACACAACCAGACCCAGCGTCACCCCTGGCCCCCGGCAACAACCCAGGTCCGGTCTGGGGTCTGAGCAGGGCAGCAAGGCCTCCATCACTGCAGGACAAGGGGAAGGACGAGTGGGGTCTTACCCTGGGCAGGGGGTAAATTCCTCCAACCTTGGAGTTTGTACAGCCCCAGGATGGGGCCAGGTGCCCCTGGGGGTTGAAGGGGCCAGTCTTGGGGTCATTCTTCTGCTGTTCTGCAGAGAGGTTTGTGGCTCCGAGCCACCCAGAGCCACTGAAGCAGACCGGGGCCAGGCTGCTCCAAAAGGGACAGGCACAGCCTCACTGATGTTTCTGGAGGCTGGCCTGCAGCCCTGCCTGGCTCTGCTGCACTTGGTTTATCATCCCAGAAGATTCTGGTCTCTGGACTCTCCGACTTCATCTTGGGACCAGGCAGTGCCTGGAGACTGTGGCAAGGTGGAAGGGTGAGCATGGTAGTGCTGGGCTGCTGCTGGCACTCTGGCCATGGGGGAACTGGGACCGGGCATTGTGGGGACACAGCCTGTCTTGGAGAACAGGAGAAGAGGACACTGCCACTGGAGCCGGCCCAGCCTTGGATCAGCCTCCACAATCCACCAAGTGCCAAGCCCTGAGGAGGCCATGTAGGGCCAACTGGAGAAACAGGCAGCCAGAGACAGAATTTTTGGAGGAGCACCACACCAGGGCTGTCCTGCCACAAGCCCTCCTTGCCCTGCCTGGAGGCAGATCCTCTCCTTTGGTCTTGGTGCGAGGGAAGGTCTGCCCCAGTCTCTGTATGAGCTCAAATCAGTGGGGTGGGTGTCCCCAGCAGCTGGGCATAGCGTCTGGCTGTTGCCTGGGGTTCCCTGGTGCCTTTTTTGAGGTGGAGAGCAGCAGCTGTTATCCTCCTGGGGCTTGAAGGGGTTTGGGGTTGGTACTGGGTCCCCACTTCCATCGTGAGGTGCTGTCCCAGCAGATATCCATTGTGCTCAGGGGCCCTGCCAACCCCTGGGCCATGTGTCCCTTCCCTGGGTGGGATGTGCTGTCCCTGCCCTGTCAGGGCTGGTCCCTGACATCACCTGCCTCCACCTGTTCTGGTGCAGCCCCTGGCCCAGGCTGCCCAAAATGCCCTCTGTGCTTCTGCCAGCACAAGTGCCTTTCTCTGGCTTTCTGCAGCCCTGTCTGTCATGCTGGCTCTGTCCCCCTACAGCCTCCTCTCTGGTGCCCGTGGATTCACATTCCAAATAAAGCAATGTTGGCGCTCACTGGGTGTCTGGGGCTTTGTGCTGGGGCTGGGACCTGCTGAGTACGAGGTCTGAGCTGGGATCACCCCCAGCTCTGTAGTCCTGTAGCCCTTTGTCCTGGGGCCTCCCTGCTTGGAGCCCCTGGACGTGGTCACAATGTCCTGGGGTGCTCTAGGGTCACAGGCAGGCTCCACTGGCACTTCTCAGTGCCTGGCGGAGCAGAGGGAGACTGAGTCCCCAGGGCTATGTGGTTGCAGGGATGCACTGAGGACAGGATGGAGCTGCATTCCTATGGGCTTTGTCACTCAGGGCTGAAAGAGCCCTCTGTCCTTGGGCCAGGACACTGCTAGGCAGTCATGCCCATGCTGTTGGGCCCTCGGAGGGTCAGGGACTGCCTAGGGGCAGCCGGCATCTCCCAGGACTGGCTCCAGTGATGCACTGTGCACTGGCACAGTGATCCTGTGATGCACTGTTGGGATGGGGTTGAGCCTCCCCTGTTCAGCAGAGGCTGTGGACAGCCGACAGCATTGTTGAGCCCTCATTGCCCAGGAGTCAGCACAAGGGTAAAACAAGGTTGCATGGAGTATTATGAGATCCTTGCCTTTTGGAATCGAAGGAAGCCCAGGATCCCCAGAGCATCCCTGGGAGCCAGCAGCCCTGCTCTACTGCAAGCACCTGTCAGGACAGCTCGTGGTGCCCAGGGAGATGGGGAGCTGCTGTGCAGGGCAGTGCCCGTGCACCCAGGGCTGGGCTGCTGCGGGGACACGGAGGGGCAGCAGGTGAGCTGCCAGCCACGGTTACAGGTCTGGAGGGAACCTGCCGCTCCCTCGCGGGGCCCATGTGTGTGGGGCTGCGCCCTGGTCTCTCCCTGGGGAGAGGTGCCACAGCAATGGGCTCACGGGGACAAACCCACTGTGCCCGACACGGCTAGGTGCAGGCCATGCCAAGACCCAGTCTGGGACTGAGCCTTGGACCACGACTGGAACGGATCCGTGCTCAGCCCCGGACTGGGACGGGATCCAGGCTGTGACTGAGCGCTACACCAGAGCAGAGGTGAACCGAGACAGGGCCAGGACGCTGATTAACCGCGGGTCTGGGCCGAGCTTCGTGTCTAGACCAGACCCATCCTCACGCAGGACCCACACGGAGCGCCACGGGCAGGGCCGGGCGGCACCGGGCACCGGAGGAGCCGCCGCCGCTTCCGGCACCGCCCACTCCGCCCCGCGGGGGCGGGGCCCGTGCGCCGCGCCCCGGTCCGTCCCTCTGATTGGCTGCGCGCGGCGCCGCGCCCTGGTCCGGCTCCCCGATTGGCTGCACTCGCGGCGCGCCCGCCGCGTCACGGCAGCGGCCGAGGGCGGTGCTGCCGGTGCGGCCCCGTCCCGGTGCGGCCCTGGTGCCGTCATGCAGGCGGTGGAGCGGGACGGGGCGGCGGGCGGCTCCGAAGGGGCGGCGGGCGTCGGTGAGGCCCCGGCAGAGCCGTCGCCGCCCAAGGCCGCCGCCGCTTTCGACCTGCTGGAGCTGGTGCGGAGCTACCGGCGGCTGGAGCTGTACCTGGAGCCGCTGCGGGACGCGGCCGAGGGCGTCCGCTCCCTCCTGAGGTAGGTATGGGGTGGACTGGGACCCGTACCGAGATCGTCTCCGGGGCCTCACGTCCCTCGCCTCCCCCTGTCTCGGCAGGTGGCAGCGGCCCGTGTGCTCCCTCCTGGTCTGCCTCGGCCTCAACTTCCTCCTGCTCACCCTCGGACAAGGTGCGTGTCGGGGGTCGGGGCCGGTCTCCTCCCCAGACCCCCCCGGGCTGACGCTGTCCCACCTCTTCCAGCCGCCTGGTACTCGATGCTCGCCCTGCTGGTCGCGGTGCCGGCTCTACTGGGCTACCTGCAGGAGTCGTGCCGGGCCCGGCCCTCGGAGCCGGAGCTGGTGCGCAGGAGGTACCACAGCATCCGCAGGGAGGACCTGCGCAAGGTGCAGCTCTCCCGGCAGGAGGCCATCGCCCAGGTCAAGAGCTTGTGAGTCCCTGAGGCCACCCCAGCTCTGGGGCTGTGGGGGCCTCTGCAACCGAGAAGGCTTCTCTGGGGTTCTGCAGAGAGTCTGGGTTTGTGCCAGGCTGGCCACTGTAACCCGTGTGGGGGAGTCAGAGTGTGTGTTTGTGAGGCTTTTTTGTGACTATGAGGTCTTATTCACAGCCTGATCCAGCTGGAGGGGTTTCTGAGCGGGATGTGTTGCAGCTGTGAGGCCGTGTACCGTGTGCTGTACTGGGAGAACCCCACTGTCTCTTCCCAGTGAGTAGTACCGGGTCAGACACCCTGTGGTGGGCTTGGTGGGGAGAGGGGGCCTGCGGAGCTGTATTTGATGTGTTTGGTACTTGGAGAGAGCAAGTGGAACACCTGATGAAGGAAGGGGTTTTATGCTGTGGTGTGAGTTGCTCCAACTTGACCGCAGTATCCTGCTGTTTTTTGTAGGTTTTATGGGGCACTGCTGGGCACTGTTTGTGTCCTTTACCTACTGCCCCTCTGCTGGGTCCTGGCCATCATCAACAGCACCCTGTTCCTGGGCAACACCCAGTTCTACCAAGGTATGAGAACTCCCTGGAAGTGTCCTGTGTGGGATGGGTTGGGGAAAGGCCCTCTGAGGCCAGGTATCCTGCCCTAGGCCTCTCCCAGCACCCTCACATGAGCACAATGTCAGGCTCTTTTTGAACCCCCCACCAAGGGCAACAGTGCCCTGTGATGGTGCTCAACAGCCCAGGGTGGGTGGTGTGGTCCCAGGGCTTAGCTGTTGGAGATGGGATTCTCTCCTGATGTGTGTCCCAGCCTGGGTGCTGTTCTCTTCTCTGCACTGTGGCAAACCATGGCCTGGTAATGCAGCCTGTGCATGAGCATCACCACTCCTCTCAATCCCTGACCCTGCTCTTCAGGACTTGAAATGTGTTCAGTGCCTGTGGCAATGTATGACACAGGTCTGAAAACGTGCCATTGGAAGAGAGAGGAGCTGGAGGCACTCCCTGTTCTGTGGCACATGCCAGAGGAGCATTGGATGTGTCTGAGTTGTAACTAAGGCCTCTGCTGTTCCCTATCCTGAGCTGGGGCAGGTGTTAGAGGGGTTCCTTACTGCCCTGACTTTGATGTGTGAGCAAAGGGGGGCTCAGGGTACCTAAGGGGTCAAGATTGTATGTGCCAATGTCCCACCTTGGGCCCTGGAGATCAACTCTTGGAGATGGCTTTTGTGTGGTGGGGCTGGGAGAAGGAAAGTGCCACCCTGCTCCAGCTGCTTTCTCCCCTTACCAGTGATAATGGAGCTCAAGGCCTTGATTGAGCAGTGTGTGGGCACCAAACCCCTCGAGAGCACTCCAGAGCCTGCTGAACCCCTGCCAGCAGCTGCTGCCCCAGATCGGACCCCCACACCCACCAGCGCAGAGGTGAGATAGGGACGGGGCTGGCAGCTGGGGGGTGGGAGTTGCAGAGTCAGCCCCACGATCTGACCGTGCCTCTGTCCCTCTACCCACAAACTTGTTCGAGCTGCCAGCTTTGCAGGAAGCCTGTGAACTACTCCTGAGTTATTGGGAGACTGTTCTGCTGCCCCGGGGGATTGGCTCAAGTCCTTTTGCCACACTTAAGGATGTGGTCTGGGGAGACGGGGCCTCATCTCACCTTCAGGGACTCGTGTCTTCTCATGGGGCTGCCCAAGGCCTGGTCCATTGTCCTGGAATCTCCTGCAGGAATGTGGGTCCACCTTTGAACAGAGGCAGGAGAACAGCTGGACTAGCTATGTGAATCTCTTGCAGGACCTCACCCCTGGCAGCGTGGAGGAGGCGGAGGAGGCAGAGCCTGATGAAGAGTTCAAAGATGCTATTGAGGTTTGAGCCTGGTGGGAGGTGGGCTGTGCCTGAAGGGCAGCTGAGGTGGGAAAGGGCCTTGGTGGGCAAGCTGGGTGCTCAGAGAGGGTGGCTGTGGGGCTGGGTGCCTCTGACTCCGTCTGTGCTCACCCTCATCTCTTCCTATGCTGCGGGAGAAGGAGAACCAGCTGCTGGTCATGGTGAGTACTGCCATGCCAAGGTGTGCAAGAGGAGCATCTCCTCCCACTGGAGCTGGCAGCCTTTTCTTGGTTTGCCAGTGGCTTGTGGTGATGCCAGGTGGAGCATCCTGCTTGTTGGGTACCCGTCTCTGGGGTGGGCTGCCCTGCAGCCCTCGGCATGGCCCCAGCCACTGCTCTGCTCTCTGCAGGAGGATGACGAGAGCTCTCAGTGCTCAACAGATTTTGACCTCAGCCTCCCAGACAATGGTTTTATGAGCAAAAACGAAGTGATCCGCAGCAAGGTGTCACGCCTGACCGAGCGCCTGCGCAAGCGCTACCCCAGCAACAACTTCGGTAAGTTTGGGAGCGGGTGCTACTTGGGGGAGCTCAGCAGAGGGATCTGTGCTGCTTCCAGTGGTGACCATGAGACTTGAAGTGGACAGTGGTGTAGTATCTGCCAGGGCTGCGCTGACACCTCCAGTGACCTTCCCCTCTCCATGTTCCCAGCCCTACCTAGGAAAGGCAAGGATGGGAAGGTGCAGGAACGTCATCTCCAAGCTGAACCTTTACAACAGCTGTGGGCGTTCCTCTACCGCTCGCAGCTCCAGGCATCAGAGCCCTGTCTGACCTCTGCTCTCTTTCTTTCAGGGAGCTGCACGGGCTGTGCAGCCACCTTCTCTGTGCTCAAGAAGAGGGTGAGTATTTGGCTTCTATCCCTGCTTGCTGGGTGCACCTGGGGCAGAGGTGTTGCCCATGTCTGGCTTGCCCTGGCTTTCTCCAGCAGCTCAGGTGTCTGGCCTTGGTCTCAGCCCAGGTGACCTCAGCTAAGTGCTGGGTGTTGCCATGTGCTTAATGGTGCCAGGAATCCCTTGCACTGTGGAGCGTTTGTCCCTTTACTGCTTTGGAAGCTGACTCAGACCAAACCCACATGTGCTGTTGTAGCTCTGTGTCCTGGTTTAGTCCATGTCCTGTGGCCCGAGAGATTTCTGGTGAAGCAGAGTGTGGGTCTG